CCCCCCCCCCCCACTGCCTCTGCTGCATGCTGCCTCTGTTTCCCCATGCAGCCTCCCCCTCCTTACTGCTGCTTTTCCTGAGTCATGGCTCCTAGTCCAGGGGCCAGAGCTGGGGCTGGAGCTACTGCTATTGTAACCACTGGTGCCTGGCTCAGCCAGAGCCAGAGCTGGACCTGGAGCCACAACTCGAGGTAAGCAATGGCAGGTGGACAGGGGAGCCAGGGGTTTAGAAGGGGGTGGGGTCGGGGGGGGCATAGACACCATGGTGGTGGAGGCAGGTATGGGAGGGCAGGCAACAGTGGGGGAGTGGCAGGTGGCATAGACACTGCAGGGGGGGGCAGGTGCCAGGGCACAGGCATGAGGGAATAGGCAACAGGATGACAAGTGGCGTGGGTCAAGTTGCTTGACTCCTTTACTGCTTGCCCTCTTCCTCTCCTTTCACTGTTGTAGTGGTAGGAGGGATAAGCCCCCCAGTAATTAGATTCCATACATGGAAAATTATAACAAATTTATAAATTTTCCATTTATAGAATCTAATAATTATCGGGTCATCTTTAAATTTGAAGTGATCTTGGATTCAGGTAAACACAGTACATTTTTCTCCAGTTTGCGCAGTATTTGAATGCAGTATGTTAGGTGCAGACTGATTAGTGCCATATACAGAACCATGATCCCCTTCCTCCACTCCATTATGTGAAACAACTCTGCATATGCAACTTCTGATGATCTTTTTCTAAGCCCAGTTCCTATTTTGTTCCAGCAATCATGATCACATATATTTTGAGGGTTTAAAACTCATTATGTTATTGCAGACTCATTTTTCTAATTTGCCTAGTTCTTTTTGTATCATTGTATTGTGCTCACTCACGTATGTAAAGTAACATCTCCAAAGGTACTATCACCTGCTCATGGAATTAATATAGTCACTACCATTCTCTTTTAGTGTATTAGTGGAGGCAAGAGAGTTCAATAAGTCTGTGAAAAGGAATACATAAACATGGTGAATGTAACAGTGGGGGACTGGGCTCTATGACTCAGTCTTACATTCCTATGATAGCAAGAATCACGCTAACATCCTGCCAGAAGTCCACCACAAACCTGACATGCTACTACCTAGCTTTGTAAGTGATCTTTCAACCCATGTTCAGCCTGTGTGAAACTTATATTGTTTGTTTGTTTTTCATGTAAGATTACACAAGTCTCTGTTAAATACTTTACTGTATAATCCAGTTACATCCAATGTGGTCTCTTGCCTCCCTAATTTTTGTGTCTCAGCAAAAAAGTCATTTTTATGCTATGTGAACCTTAAGTCTTTCTTCTGTATTAGATGTATTATCAGTACTAGTCTACTCCTCTGTGGGCAGGTCTACACATGCTATTTCTGCACATGAATAAACTCTGGAGCTTATTGCTCCATAGTTAATTGCTCCTGCATGAGCCATTTGAATGTGCACCCAGGAGCAATTAACTTTAGAGCAATAAGCTCTGCAGTTTATTCATGCACATCACATGGAGCCGAGTCAGAGCAGTCCTGGCTGGCAGGGGGCCCCTGGGGTCAGGTTGCCAGCCTGGGACTGCTCTCCCCAGCTCAGCGTGCTGTAGAGGGGCTGACTGGGGCATGAGAGAGCTTCAGCGTGGGGCTGGCTGGCAGGCAGCCCCTGCATGGAAGCACCGTCATGCCCCAGCCAGTTTCTTCAGTGTCTTCATGTGCACTGCTGTGGAGCATTTTACTCCACAGAAGGATAGTACTTTTATTTACAAGTACAATCCTATTGCAGAGTAAATTAGTTTACTCCAGTGTAATAGAGGCACACATGTAGATGCCAAGACATCTACTGCACAGCTAATTAGCCAACTGCACAGTAAATGTCTTGAAAACACAGCGAGCATCTATACATGCACAGCATTGGAAGGTTTTCAAAGATCACCTGTGTAGAGCTGATCTTTAGTTTTCCTCCAATGCACTCAAAGACTTGCATCCATCTGTCATGACTTCCTTTCAGTTTTTTTAACTGTTACTGGCAAGACAGCTCTTTTGTTGTGAGTGTCTGGAACGGTAGAGGTTGTGCTTTCTGTCTGTGGTGAGTGAGTGGCTGTGTACTGTTTGTGCCGTTTTGCATTATTATTTATACCTGAGAGAGACTGTGTGCGTCTTTGTGTTTACCATGCTTGCTTGTAAATGCTGATCTTTTTATGATGGGAGGGTGAACTTGTAAGTGCATATTGGTATGGGTACCTGATATATATGGCTGAAGGCATGTGATATATCCGCTCTGATATACTATTGTGCACACTCAGCATTTGTTCACCATATGTGCTAATGTGGCCTCCTGCTCAGTTTGCTTGGGAGCACTACACAGTCGTCTTACATTACTACCTTTGGAGCAGTTTAGAAGACGCGAAGAAAGCAATTCTCCCTCACTTTTGAAAGTAACTGAAGTTGCACATTCCTAATGAACTGTGTGGAAAAGCTCTTCCCTTGCTTAATTCTTGGTCATAGCAGAATTCCCACAGTATTCAAGTTCTTTTGTGTAAAAATGGAGAACAGGTTTCCTGCCTTATTGTGTTGCAGTAAACTTTTATTCCCCCTCCTCCAAATCCCATATTGTTCCACAGATGTTTTCTAGCCCTCATTCCTATTAAGTCAAGCTAGAGGAAGATGTGTGCATTAGTGGCTACCATGTCTTATTTTCCTGGATGACACGTACATCTGGCATACTGTACACAGCTAGTTCACATTTGCACTTCATCTCTCTCCCTTTTTTCCCCTCCACTGCCCTCTTGCCCTACTCCTGTCTTCTATCTTTCCATGCAGCTAATCACAGCTAACATCTTGTACCAAAAAAATTAAAAACAGAAATATTGTGGTGTTAACATGATATTTTTTGGTTAACACATTGTTCACCCTGCTTGCTATTCTACACTATTCCAGTACCTTTCTATCCAGCTTATCTGTTTTGGTTTCTTGCACAGCATCTGATGAAGTGAGCTTGAGTTCATGAAGGCTCATGCTGTACATCTCAGATTTAGCTGGTCTATAAGGAGCAAATCTACCCTGCCTTTACCTGGCTCGAGACTAACTTGGCTAACTACTACTCCTGGTTCTTTGGGCCAGTAAGTGTTTACTGTTTGGTGCTGATATATGCAAAGCCCTGTTCCTGGTTGGTCCCCAGACACTGCCACATAATGATAATTCATCCAGCTGATAAACATGCAAATATGTATGCATATACTTCCTTAAGCATGGACACTGTATACCCATGGGCACATGTGTAACATATGCAGCTTGCCTTCCACCCGTGTGCAACTCACCTTCTCCACCCCCATACTTACAGTACTTCTAAGTCACAAGAATACATACTGTAGGAACCTATAAATTCACCCATACCACAGAATACACCACCCAGACACACCTCACAGCCCATATACACACAGACCTCTACTGAAGATAATTTGATAATCACTGTGGTTGAGTTATTCTAGTCCCAGCAAAAATAAAATGCTAAGAAAAATGGGAAGGATTGACAGGTCTGTAATATTGTGGGGATAAATGAGAGACTCTAAGTTAATGCTTATTCTGCAAATACTATCTTAGGAGAAGAGTACCTCAGAAGAAACAAGAAAGTAACTTCTATCTCTAAAACTCCTGTGCCAGGAAGTTTCTAGCTTAGGGAGCTGCTTCCATTCAGCTGAGAAACAAAAGACCTTTCTTGGAGCTACAGGAGAATCTAAAGAGAACTATACATTTGGAAACTGAGAATAAAGATTTGAAGAAACTAGAGTGACTGAGTAGTAGAATGCCAAAAAACACCCCCAAAAACAAAAAAAACAACTGACCAAAACCAAACAAGAGACTAATTTTTTTCCTGGGTAGAGAATTGTTTGGGC